CTTGCCGGATGATGAGTTTTTCGGCGAATGTTATCTCCTCAGTTGAGGGTGTAGCTGTCGTCAGCGATTTTGTTTTTAGGGCGAGAATTTTGCCTCTTGTCGCTCTACGGATGAAGCGAGCACAGTACGAAGTGACTCGTAGCAACTTGGAGAGGCTGTTGGTTTGCTCTAGAGGCCATACTGGGTGTATGACTTCTTCTGTGTACGCGGAGGTGCATGCCAAGTTCTCGTCGTCATTGTCGAAGTTTTGTTCCCGTAGATTAGTTGCGTCCTTGGCAGGCCAGCAGTCAGTTGTGGTATTCAACCATATTGGACCAGACCACCAACGGTGACATTTTAGTTCATTTTTGGTCACCCCTCTTGTTGCGCAGTCGGCTATATTCTCATGTGTTGGCACATGGTAAAATGTGACATTGCTGGTATCACGTATTCTTTTTGTGATGAGTCCAATTTTCTGGACGAGTGTATTTACCATAGTTGGTAGACGTTTGTATCCTTGTATCCAACATAGGGCAATGGTTGAGTCGCTGAAGAGGTTGACTTTTTGAAACATGATGTCTACCTTATTCATGGTGGACTCTGCTAGGCTGAGTCCTAAAAATATAGATAGAAGCTCTAGCCGAGGTATTGTTTGTTCCTTCTTGATCGGCGCAACTTTTGACTTCGCTGTGAAAAGCTTTGTCTCTTTGATGCCTTCGCAAGACGTCGTTGTTACGTAGATACTGCAAGCGTACGCCCTCTTGGAGCTGTCCACGAATATTGACATCGTATGACTGCTGGTCCCGCTCTTTTCCGCGACTTTCCTGGGCAACTTCACTTCAAACCCAATGACATTCGATGTGATGGATCTCCAAGTGTTTTGATCCTTTTCAGACAAGACGCCGTCCCATCCGTACCTCTGTTTGTGAAGATCCTGAAGAAATATCTTGGCAGGAACCATTAGCGGTGATAGTAGGCCAAGGGGATCGTAACAATATCCGTTGATCTGGCTGAGAACTGTTCTTTTGGAGGTCTTGTTTGCTTGCTTCTCAATGCATTGCAGAGTTATGATGTCTTCTACGGCGTTCCATTGCATTCCAAGAACCTTTATTTCGATAGAGGCCGGTTGATCACATTCGGCAATGTTCTTGTTGACGGTAGCAGAATTTGATAGGTTATCCCGCGGGTTCATCCCGATGGAAGAGAATAGTCGCTTCGACTCTGTATATTTCTTCAATAGTTCCTCGGTAGTTCTGCCTTCAACGAGTACGTTGTCTACGTAGAGAGAATTGGATAGCTCTGATGCAATGTCCGATTGCGATTGTTCTATATGCTTCAGTATCGATTGATTTAAAATCGCTGGGCTTGCGTTTATGCCGAAAGGGACTCGACAAAAGCGAAAGTACTTGAGATTGTCTCCTGTCGGGGGAAGGGATGGATTTTTCACCCAGAGGAATCTTGTCACGTCTCTGTGTTCTTTAGGCAGTCGTATTTGTAGAAATGCCTTTTGTATATCCGCTGCCATCGTATTGAGGTGGGTGCGGAATTGGAGAACCACTTTATGTTTCAATGGGGTTAATGAATGGCATTCGAAGATCACGTCGTTGAGACAGTACACGCCTTTTGCATGTGAAGAGGCATCGAATACAATTCGTAGTTTGGTAGATTTCGAAGGAGACTAGACGTGTCTTGAGGAAGGTAGAATGTAGCGACGCCGTGGGAAAAGTTTTTCGCTTCCTCTATTACTCCTTCTTGGAGGTACGTCTTGAGAGTATCGTTGTACAGATTGAGTTTCTCTTCATCCCCGTTCAGTGTTCGCAATAGGCTTTGCAATCTTCGATAAGCCACACTGAAGTTATCTTTGAGGTTCTTGACTTCATCAGTGAATGGAAATCCAGCAGTGACGGTTCCATTTTCGATAGAAATGATTTTCCTGTAGTCCTCCACAAATTTGATAACGGCTGCTTCATCTGTGTCACTTTCTGTATTGAGTCCAAGTTTCCAGCTCGTACAGATGCTTTATGTCCGTTTTGTAATCGTCTTTCGATGATACAAGAGGAGTAGCCACAATGAGCGAACTACATAAATTGTGCTTCTCTAACTTGCTTCATTGAATCTGGTATGCTGCTAGTCCCTGAGATTGTGTACCCGAAGATAGTGGGTGTGAGGACCAATCCAGATGGTAATTTGATAGTTGCTGAGCTGTGGTCGAGAATCCTGTGCAGCAGATCCTGCCCAATAAGTAAATCAGGAGATACGTCTGCTGGGATTAGACTCCGCTGAGCGATCAAAATTTTCTTTTCTTTGATGAAGCTCTTGTCTGCTTCTGATAGTTCGGCAGTTCTCGTATGAGTTGTTAGTTTGTCTTTCGTGAAGACTGATAGATGCTGCAGCTTTTTTGAGCTATGGCAGCTTCTTAATGTAATCCGCACTTCGTTGGATTGGAAGGTTTCACGTAGCTCTCCCATCCCTACAGTAGTGAATGATGTCGTACTGAGCGACGGCAGCTTAAGCGACGCTCCAAGTGAAGATTTAATAAAGCTCCGTTGAGCTCCTGAGTCCAAGAGAAGAGTTATAGTTTGATAGTCCATCTCAGATTCATTGAAAATTTGAGCTGAAGCTATTTGTAGCACATGTTGACCGCGAGATAGTTGGTTTTGCTCATTGATTATATTCACCTGAGGCGCAGTGTTTGGAAAGGTTTGAACTCGACTGCTTTCTTGTTGTTGATTGCGCAGTCTTGCTGGCTGTTGTGAGCGATTGTGGTTCGCCGAAGTTGCGCTCCTGGAAGTCGCTTGATGTGTACTCGCTGGAGCTGGGTATTGTGTAAAACGCGATGTGTTTGCTGGTTGCGATCTGCTTCCATTAGAGGTGCAGAGTGATGAATGGTGATCTTCGTTGCATTTTGGACATTTGCTGACGACAGAACATTGTCTTGAATTGTGCCCTTTGTTGAAGCATCTCCAACATACTCT